GCAGGCTGCGCCAGGGATGATTTGGGGCAGGGACAGGCAGGGACAGGAGCAGGGACAATAGGAGCAGGGACGATAGAAGCAGGGACAGGAACAGGATGGTAGGAGCAGGGACAGAACAGATTGGTAGAGCAGGGACAGGGGCTCTGGGGAGGTGGCGCGGCAATCACGCCTGCACCCACGGGTGCTCCAACGAGGCCGGGACGTTTCACGCGCCCATCCCTGGGCCACGCCAGGCCCCGTGTGGCATGTTTGGGGGTGTCCTGGCGTGGTGGAGGGCGTGATGTGAGGCGGGCCTGCACGTCCCGCCGGTCAAAGCCAGGCCAGCGCTGGGCGGCTGCGCAGAAGGTCCCCGCGGCTGCGCCCGGCCGGCCTCCCGTGAGCAGGTGGCTGCGTGGTCCCCAGGCCCGGCCCTCCCTGCGCCCCCTGCGCTGTTGTGCCGCCCGCGGGCAGGAGACCCTCCCGGCCGGCCGGCCTCCGTGTGTTCGACCCGAGGGGACCCGGAATGTTCCGGCACCCGCCCGGCCCTACCCGGCTCCTTGCGCGGCTTCCGGAGGCAGCTGGGAGGGTCGCCCTTCTGGTGCAGGCCGCCCACGCTGCGGCTCCTCTGCAGCTCGGCCACCTCGCCGGCTGTCCTGGCGTGCCCGGCGGCCGCCCCTGCCGGCAGGGCCCCGGGGCCGGGCCGGTGCCTCCTGTGGCCCGCGGCCGCGCCGTCCTTCTCCATCCCGACGCAGGGACGCGGCGCCGGCTCCCAGCACGGCCTCAGCGGGGGTGCATGGCTGCCCGCTCCCGGCCTCTGCTCTGGGAGAGTGGCCGGGATGTGCCCCGGGGACCCCGTTGCCGTGGGGCTGCTGTGATGTCACTGCGAGGTCGGAGGTCAAAGGTTGGCCCGGGCCGGTCCAGTGTCTCCTCCCGGGCAGGTGTAGCGGCCGGCCCAGCCCGGGGCCCCACGTGGGCGCCCTGCCCGCCGCCGGGACCCCTTCGCGGACCTGAGACTTCCTCTCGCCCAGGGCAGACTTGGGGCCGAGGGAGGGCTCGGGAGGGCTCGGGAGGGCCGTGCCGGCGCCCTCAGCACGCGGGGCGTGGCCTCCATGACGGCGCGGCGGACGGCTCCCTGGGCAGGCGGGTGAACTCGCCACCTCTCGTCCCCAGCCTGTGCCGTGTGGCTGCGGGATAAAGGCCACGGGCCACGGCTGAACCATAGGAGTTCGTTCTCGCATTCTGGAGGCGTCTCCGTCCGAGATGGGGGTCAGCAGGGCTGGCTCCCCAGGGCCGCTCTCCCGGGGGGGTATGCGTCCCCCGTGTCCTCACGTTCTGTCCCTCCACGTGTCCCCGTCATCTCTGCTCAGAAGGACGACAGCCCGGCTGGCCAGGCCCCCCCTGGTGACCCCGTATTACCCGAGTCACCCCCTCCCGCCCCCCCCACAGGCACACGGAGGTCCTGGGGCTCCGGCGTGAATCTGGGCCCCCCACACGGCCTGACAGATGCCCCCAGGCACCACGAGGCCCGGCCCCACCTCCGAGTGTCCTTGGCTGGGCGGGAATTAAACCACGCGAGGGGCAGCACGTGGTCCCGCGGGTTCCGTGTGGCGTGGACGCCGGCTTCCACACGTGGGCACTGGCGTGGAAGGAGCGTGCGGGAGGCTGGAGACGGTGGGGCGGGAGGCTGGAGACGGTGGGGCGGGCGGGCCCAGCTCTACCCGGGATACGGGAGACACCGCCTTCCTCCCGCTCCGGCCGTGCCCGGGCGTCGTGGCTCCTCCAGGAAGACGCGGGGGCCCCGCCGGGCACGGTGTTTAAGGGCCTTTCTCCCAACGTAACCCCCACGCCGCACGGCCTGTGCCCGGCGGGGTCCCCGCGTTCGGGGTGGCAGAAGGACCCTCAGACCAGCCCTCTGGGGGCCCCTCTGGGGCCTCCCCTGCCATGTCACAGCACCCCGGCGACCTGGAGGCCTCAGGTCACCTGCCAAGCACCTCGGTGGGCAGCAGCCTCCGCCCTGGGGTCCCCCGACCTACGGCCCCCCGAGACCGAGGCTCAGAGGCACCTGTGCCAACCCGGACGCCCGGCCGATGGCCGCAGCCAGGACGGACGCCGGGCAGCCGCGCCTCTGCCGCTCTCTCTGCGATGGCCCCCCGTCACCGGAACCAAGCGGGTCCCGCCGCCTCCGCCTGGTGTGGCCGCTCTGGCGCTCGGCCCGGCTGCTGCAGAAGCTCAGCCCCAGGCGCCCAGACAGCCTCGCGGGCAGCGGGTCCCCCCAGGGTCACCCCCACAGCAGCCCTCGGCCCGGGGCGGGAGGAGGGGCCCAGGGGCCGGACCTGCCGTCCTCACCCTGCCCCGCCGGCCCGTGAGGCCTCGTCCTCGCCCTGCCCCGCCGGCCCTTGCGGCCTCGTCCTCGCCCTGCCCCGCCGGCCCGTGTGGCCTCGTCCTCGCCCTGCCCCACTGCCTCACCCTGCCCCGCCGGCCGTGTGGCCTCGTCCTCGCCCTGCCCCACTGCCTCGCCCTGCCCCGCCGGCCGTGCGGCCCCGGCCCCCAGGAGGCCCTCACACCCACCCCCAGTGTGCTGGGAAGCGCCTGGCCTGGCGCCCAAAGCCAGCCCCGGACTCTCCCATAACGGCTGACACGGTGGTGCTAAAATAAAAAGGAGGAATAAAGGAATCAGGAAGGTGCCGGGCGTCTCCGCCTGGCCAGAGTCTCCGTCACGGCCCCCGTCCCTCCCCGTCCCTCCCCGAGTGGCCCGAGCTGGGGACACGGCGCAGCTGGAGCCCCCGTCCCCGCACTCGGAGCAGAGCCGCACGTGCCACGGCCCCCGCATGCCAGAACCCCCAGGTCACACTGCCTGCCACCAGAGGCTGTCACCTGTCATCAGAGGTGTCCCTGTCACCAGAGACACCACCTGTCATCAGAGGTGTCACCTGTCAGGGATGTCATTTGTCATCAGAGGTGTCACCCGTCACCAAAGACACCACTTGTCATCAGGTGTCCCGTCAGAGATGTCACCTGTCATCAGAGGTGTCACCTGTCAGAGATCTGTCACCTGTCATCAGAGGTGTCACCCGTCACCAAAGACACCACTTGTCATCAGGTGTCTCATCAGAGATGTCACCTGTCATCAGAGGTGTCACACGTCACCAAAGACACCACTTGTCATCAGAGGTGTCCCCTGTCAGAGATGTCATTTGTCATCAGAGGTGTCACCCATCACCAAAGACACCACTTGTCATCAGGTGTCCCGTCAGAGATGTCACCTGTCATGAGAGGTGTCACCCGTCACCAAAGACACCACTTGTCATCAGAGGTGTCCCCTGTCAGAGATGTCACCTGTCATCAGAGGTGTCCCCTGTCATCAGAGGTGTCACCTGTCACCAGAGATGTCACCCATCACGAGAGACACCACCTGTCAGAGGTGTCACCCATCACCAGAGATACTGCCTGTCATTAGAGGTGTCACCTGTCAGAGATCTGTCACCTGTCATCAGAGGTGTCACCCATTATCAGAGACCACCTGTCAGAGATATCACCTGTCATCAGAGGTGTCACCTGTCAGAGATATCACCTGTCATCAGAGGTGTCACCTGTCAGATCTGTCACCTGTCATCAGGGGTGTCACCTGTCATCAGGGGTGTCACCTGTCAGATCTGTCACCTGTTATAAGAGGTGTCACCCATCACCAGAGACACCACCTGTCATGATAGGTGTCACCTGTCATCAGAGTGGTGTCATCCAGCTCCCGAGCCGGCGCCCAGCCCCCCAGGCGTGACCGCAGGGTGCACGGAAGAGCACACCAGTCCTCAGCAAGAATAAAGTATCTCCTTTAATTGGCCAGTAAAATACGCTGCAAAACATTAGTATTTTATAAACAGACGTGAATACAAACCCTATTACAGCTCAGCGCAGCCTCACCGCCGTGTCCCCACGGCGACCGTACACTTTTCTCCACCGTTGTGGTGACAGGCAATGTCAGTCCCCGAGTCTGGGTTGAGCCTGAACGATGGTCCCCAACGGGGACGGGGAGACAGGGGCACACGGACCCGGTGCACACGCTTCCCAGCGCCCGCCTGCAGCCCCGTGGGACGCCGTGCGTGGAGGGGGCGTGGGAGGTGACGGCCAGCGTTCTGGGTCCACAGAGACGCGGCGAGAGGGCGCAGGCCGGGA